CTGAGAACGCTCATAACCCAAAATTACCTGTAACCCGACCCGAAACATAATGGGTTGGGTCAATATTTGACCCAAAATTAGCTAACCAAACATGACCCGACCCGTAACCGAAATCCCCAACCCAAAATTACCCAACCCGACCCAATTGCCAGGTCTACTGCAGAAGATCCAATAATAGCTTGGAATCTCTGAAGCTGACCAAGCCCTCTTAGATAGAATACCCGGTGGGCGACTAACCTCCACTGGAGTACAAAGCTAAGGCAATACACAAAGATCTCAAATACTAGAATGAATTTTAGTACAAAGTAGTGAATTGAATGACTCTCGTACAATCAATTTACTCCTACCAATTGAGAAAGCTCTCTTAACGCAATCAGATTCTATCTATCATAGGTTAAAGCAGAAATGAAAGGAAAGTGATCAAGATTCAATTGACTCAGCAATCATGCCTCAATTGATTAAAACCATTTAGTATAACATTCAAAGATTCAAACAAGAAAGATCCTAACACATGGAACTAGGGCTCCTAAAAACCTAAGTGAAGGGAAGTTCCTCCATAGAGAAGAGAGAGATTGCATTATAACTTTTCATATCTTCAATCTTCATGTCTGGACTTGTTCCTTGAGCTTCAATGGTGAAGAATCCTCTAAAATAGCTCCAAGAATGGCTCTAAATCACCCTCTCTCTCTCTCTCTTTGGTACGTTCCATGGGTGTTTGGAATCCAAAACCCAGCTCCCCCCCCCCAAATCGCAGAAATAGACTTATACACGAACAAGGGGCAGAAACACAATCGTGTTTGTAGGAGGGTCTTCATGTATTTGCTCATCGATCGTCACTACACAAGTGCCAGATGAAACACGACTGTGCTTTGTGGAGAGCCTGCGCGTGTTTCTTCCTCTGCTCCACTTTTGAGAGGCTTTTGAGTGACCAAACGACCTCCAATTGACCCAAAACTTGCTCCTATGTCTCCCTTTACTCGCTAGGATCTGAAGTATGACAAAATAACACAACCTAGAGTAAAATAGGCCAGGGAGAACACTAATCAAAGCCAAATTGATCAAGAAATGAGGGTGTAAACATGTGTAAATATTGTGTATCAACTTACCTGAGGGGTTGGAAAACTGACACCACTATTAATTATAGTTATTTTGGGTATTAAATTTGTGTTGCAGTAATAATCTTTGGGAATGAAAACCCATATTAATTACATTTCATTTTTCAAAATTGAACCTATATTAATTACATTCTCTCCTTATTTACCACACTTTCCTTTCACAATAGCTTTGTTTCCTTCTTCCGGTAGACTCCTCCCGATCATACTCATGTCGGCAGACTCCCCCCAACCACCTAAAAAAAAGTATCACTGCATTAAAAAAAATCATTAAACTGATAGAAGTACTATTGCACTAATAATGTTAATTGTACACTAATATAATTGCACTAAAAAAATGAATTTAATTAATATATGAGTTTTTAATTCCTGCATATTATTAAATGCACATAAATTTAATACCTTCAAAATCTATAATTAATAGGGGGTGTCATTTTTCCAAAGGGGTAGTCATGCTATCTCATCCCTCATTCAATTACGTACAAGTTTTTCCGAGCACCGACCTCAAAACCTTCATAAGGATCACAAGGGAGACCCTGATTTTGAGTTCTACAAAATTTGAAAGTGATGTTGTGGTAAAGCAACTCAAGCCTTCCATCAACCCTGACCTCAATGACCTCCATAAGCTCGTCATGGCTGACTTTTTGATTGAACGACAACCTACAGATGTCGGATGCCCCTTTCAACAACTTTAGCAAAAGATCGGCTAGGGACAGTCATTGCACTCCTTCTAGTTGCCGCAGTCGCGGGTTTTGAGCATATCTCCTATAATACTCTGATCAACTATGTCCACCCTGTAGGAGAAGGCTCTATAGGGAGAATAATGTAAAAGGAGCGTCCAGACGAGATTGTTTCCAGGATTTTGACGCATCTCTCACGAAAGTTAAAGCTCTACGGACCATATTTTTATGACTCGGCCGACACCTGCTTTCCCACACTTAGATAAGCAAGTTAAGTTTTTTTTTTAAATAACAGATGAAGTGTCTGACAAAACTAGGGGATATATATGGATGGGGCTGAGGGAGATGAAGCGGCCTTATTCTGACTGAAACCCTTTCATTTTAGCCTGAAAATATTCCCCACTAGGAAATCTTAACTATGAAGAAAGTATCATTTGTGTTCCAACCAATTCATTATTCCATTTATGTCTTGAACTATTATTCCGTTAAAGTTGAGCTTCTTTGACAGTTAATTTTGAATTAGTTGACAGGTCACCGGTGATATGTCTGCCGACGTGGCTTTTTGTTGTCTCTTTTTATTTCCTTCATCCTCCTTTATTTACATGTCATTAATAAAAAAAATAAAAAATAAAAAGAGAAAAGAAATTACTACAAATGCAATCGGGGTTTCACCCTAGAATTTATTCACATTCACTCCTTCTTTGGACTTCGAGAGGCTTACCACTAAAAAAATCATGAACCCTAACCCAATTGTGGCGATCTTTCGATTCTCTTACATTCGAGCATTGGGGAGTCAATTCGCGACTACTGGAGGCACTCAACAACTTAGACAACAGCCAGCAGGGACAATCCTTCTCTAGCAATAGCTTCAACACCCTCGTCTGACCATGCTTGAGTCGCAATCCCATCGGGGGTTCCTTCTACAAACATCGCGGGAGACTTTCACGAGTTCTCGTATTGTTGTCATGGGAGGAGTACAACATGTCTTTGCATGTATAAGTCTTCAAAGGTGTTGAACAGAGTTTCCCCCAAAATTTCTAGGGTTTTTGTGCGAAGGGGACTGTTATGTTTTCTAGAGAGTATGAGGTATTTGAAGGCCGATTTGGTAATTGGTCAGCAAAGTGAGTGTGAAAACCGTACAAAAACTAGATGTGGTAGCTGCAAAGTGGGCATTGTTGTCGAAGATTCGCTTGAAGAAGATTGAAAAGCAGGGACCACGAAGGTGCTGTGAAGACGAATTCATCCCCTTGTCGACTTAAGTAACATGTATGAATTCAATTCCAGTAACATGTTATGGTCATTTTCATTGTTTTGAAGAATTGGTTGTCTTGGAGTTGTAATATGCAACAAGATGGGTCACGGGTTTGTGGTATGCTAGATTGCAAAGTTGTCTTTTAGCAACTTTTGGGAATAGTTTAAAGGAATAGAAAATTAGTGTCATTAAAGTGCGATTAGATTCGTATATAATGAAGTTTAGTCATTGTAACCATGCTATTAAGTCGCGCTGACAATCCATAAGAAGGTTACCAGTGGGCCAAACAAGTAAAATCAGGAGAAAAAACCGATGACGTCCTGACCGCCGCAAGCCCAAGCCTATGTAAGCATTGAGGATATTCCTTTCTTTATCCCCAAGTCAATAAATTCGAGTTCAGATAGTATCAGGACACTTTTGACCAAGTTTTATGAGAAAAGACCTACAAGCCCCTTCTTCCTTCCAATAAAGAGGCTGCAAACCTTTACTCAAATCTCTGTATAACTCGAGCAAGCGAGTTTGAAATAGCATTCATATGAGGGTGCAACTAAGAAGATGTATTCATCATCGATGATGGTGCCATCTTTCCCTCTTGTGTATCGACAGTTTAAGTTCGTTGTTAAGGATATGAATAATATTGATGCTTTATGCATCTTCTTTCTATGTTGTAATAAAATGCTTTGGTCATTATTTTCTTATGTCATTCGAAGTCCATATAATCAGATGGTTTAGTCATGTGATACTTGTGTTCGAATATTTTAGTTTATCGATACTCTACCATTCGATGCCTATATCATCTATTATATACTTCATCATCGCATATGCATATGCATTACCAGTAAAATGGATATAATTTGGATTTTTTTATGGTGTGCTCCATCCAAGTCCACAAATCCACATTTGTCTTCTCTAGCGTTTAGTGTTGAACACAAATACATGGGCCTAACAACTGTCATATGCTAGGAAAGACAAGTGTATAACAACACCAAATGGTGCGTTATAACTATGAGTCACCGAGAAAGAAAATTGTGTTTTGAAAACCCATATATGGTTGGGATATCGTGCGGCGAATGAATGTATTCATAAGAGAGATAGGTGGATAAATGAAATGCAAATCATTTTTTTTTAATAATTTTTGAAGGCACAAAAATTGGAATAAATAAATCCCTAGCTAGCTGTGGTCCATACTTGATATCACACAGGCCATGGAAATTGGAAAATTATGTTTATTTTCAGTTTTCTTGAAATGACTACAGACTTTTTTCACGAAACAACTCATATATTGGTTGATTTTGCCTTAACTTTTGCAGAAGTAACTTTTTACTGAAACTTTTAGAGAAATAACTTTTGAAAAAATCATTTGAGCGCTTGGCTGAAAAACTATTAGAAGTATTTTTTTAATATAAGAGGTTGTGTAAAATAATTATAAAGAACTTATAATATACAATATGAATAAAATTCTAAATAATAAAAAAAATAGTCAAAATGGATCTTGTAAGATTTCTTTTATATTAAAAATATTATTTTATACTTTATTTTATTTTTAAAATTATATAAATGAAATAATTAAAGTATGGTAAAGATAATGTTGTATTTTCAAAATGGCTTTTTGCAAAAGCTCCAAATCAGAACTTCTGCTTTTATGTTATACAAAAGCGTTTTTCGGCTTTTCAAAAATTGAGTTTTTAGAGGTGTTTAACTTTATTTCAACTTTTAAAAACGAAAAATATTTCTAAAAGTCGGACCAAACATAATTACTAGTAGAAGAGAAATGCCAAAGAATCTGTAGAGCGACGGACATCATTTCAGCGTTGAACATAGAAATATTGAATTTTCCAAAATAAACACTTCTAATAGAATTTTTCCTTCTTCACGGTTTGACTTGTTTCACATATCAACGCCTACAATTCATGGACAATTTTTGTACGTAATTCTTTCTTAAGTTGGAAAAGTTGACTTTCTATATGAACCGTTACTTTCACAATTGGCGATTGTCATCCCTATTAATACAGACAATAAAAGTACTACAAGCACACGCACCACTATGGCGCTTATCATCATGACGGCCTACTATTTCCTCCCAGCCATTCTCTTCGCCCTCATAATTTCCAAGCTCCTAATCTCATCCAAAAACAAACGACGCCGCACTGACCTCCCTCCTAGCCCGCCGTCGCTTCCATTCATCGGCCACCTCCATCTCCTCAAGGAACCAATCCACAGAACCCTACAAACCCTCTCCCAACAGTACGGCCCAATCTACCTCCTCTCCCTCGGCGTCAAAAACGTCGTCGTCGTCTCCTCCCCGTCCCTGGCCGAGGAATGCTTCAACAAGAACGACATCGTCCTGGCCAACAGGCCGATGTCCATCTCAGGCAAAATCATCAACTACAACTACACCACCGTGGCGGCCGCGCCGTACGGTCCGCACTGGCGCAACCTCCGCCGCTTCACCGCCGTCGAGCTCCTCTCCACCGCCAGGCTGAACTCCTCCGTCGGCATACGTCAGGATGAGGTCAGGCTGCTCATCAGCAGCCTGTTTGACAAGGTCTCGGGTGCTGGCGGCGGGTCGGGTTTCGGCGAGGTGGAGATGAGGTCGAGGCTGAACGGTCTTTCGTTGAACATAGTGATGAGGATGGTCGCCGGGAAGAGGTATTTTGGCACGGAGGGAGCAGCGGAGGAAGGTGAGAGGTTTCAGGAGGTGATTAGGGAGGTTTTCGACGTGAGCGGGGCGTCGAATCCGGCGGATTTCTTGCCGGTGCTGAGGTGGATTGATTACGGCGGGATGGAGAAGAGGATGCGGCGAGTTTTCGCGAAATTCGATGCTGTTTTCCAGGATTTGATCGAGGAGCATCGGGGGAGGGAGGAAGATTCGACACGGTCAAAGACGATGATCGGTGCTTTTTTGACTTTGCAGGAATCCGAACCTGAGACCTACTCCGATGATGTTATCAAAGGTCATGTCATGGTAAGTACATGTTTCAACATTTTAGGAATTTGTTGATGAAGTCAATTAAGTTCGATTTGAAAATAACATTTCGGAGAAGCGACGTGGTAGCAAAAAAGGAGAAGGGCTTAGCAATTTGGATATTTCAACATTTGTTGCATGTGGAGCTTTGCTATGCTAACGTGGCCACCGATCGACCATATATATAGGCTTTGCTTTGCTTGTCTACTTAGAGTCAGAGTGAGGTTGAGTAGTCAAGTTGGAATTTTTAGTAATTAATTGTTAGTCACATATTCTTGCAATTTTCAACTTTTATTTTATTTATAAAAAATTTAGATACACTAATCAACTCACTCTATGTTTTGTTTTCACTTCTATTTTTTCGTTGTTAATGTCAAATAAAAACATATATTGATTGCTTACTTTTGACCAGACCTAAAATGAAGATAAACTTATTTCTAATTTTTTTTTATGTTGGCAGACAATAATACTTGCAGGCACAGACACATCAGCTGCCACAATAGAATGGGCAATGTCACTTTTACTTAATCACCCGAAGATCCTCAACAAGGCAAGAACCGAATTAGATGATGTCGTTGGGAAGAACCGACTAGTTCAGGAATCAGACTACGTCAAACTTCCTTACCTCCAAAGTATCATCAATGAGACGCTTAGGTTGTATCCAGTAGCACCACTTTTGGTACCACACTACTCCTCAGATAATTGCACCATTGGAGGCTATCATATTCCCAAAGGCACAACATTGTTGGCTAATGCATGGGCTATTCATAGAGACCCTGAAGTTTGGGATGACCCAACCAATTTCCGGCCCGAGAGATATGAAGGATTGGAAGTGGAGGGGTACAAGTTATTACCATTTGGAATGGGAAGACGGTCGTGTCCTGGTTCCGGGCTAGCTAATAAAGTTGTGAGCTTAGCGTTGGGTGCATTAATCCAATCTTTTGAGTGGAAAAGGATTAGTGAAGAGTCATTGGACATGTCTGAAGGGCAGGGACTAACCATGCCTAAGGTGGAGCCTCTTAGAGCTTTGTGTAAAGTGCGTGAATGCTTGAAAGATGTCTTAATTGTGTGATCATGTCATCTTGACGATCATGTCGAGTTATCTGCTATAGTAGTACCCTATATAAACATGATGAAATTATTTGATTCAGCCACGTGACTAATGGTGAAAGCAAATTGATCATTTATATTATTGAGTTTCTATATGCGTGGGACGTAATGAGTTCTTGTTGTGAATGACAACATTCACATGATCAATCGGAGATTGGATGATGAAGAATTCATGACCAGGACATTGATTTTGGAGAAGTAGCTAGTTACAAAATTTAATTCCTAAGTAAACATTGGAAACTACTACTTCAGCAATATGAATTGTTTACATTTTATCACAAAAAACACAAATATGGATTTTAATAACCACACTTAGTTCTGCAAGCAATCCCTTCATCAATTGCAACTCACACACCAACTATGCAAGGGCTTTGTACTCAACCTCAAATGACAACCTCGAAACAGTTGTTTGTTTCTTGGCTTTTCAGGTCACAAGAGAGTTCCCAAGAAAGTGCAGTATCCACGAACATATCATCTAGGATCAGGACAACTAGCCCAATTTGAGTCGCTATAACCCGAGAGCTGCAAGGATTAGTCACTAGAGAAGAATATACCTCGCTGATTCCTTGATGTACCCGAAAATCCTAAAAGTAGCCTGGTAGTGTTCTGTATGATGATCCTTTTGAAATTGACTATGTTGTTGTCTGGGAAATGTTAAGCCTGGTCGAGTAATGGTAAGGTAATGCAGTCTCTCAATCAAACATCTATATTGTTGAGGATCTTCCAGAGGTTGACCTTGCTTGGCTCTCAAGGTAACTTTAGGGTCCAAAGGTGATCTACAAGGTTTGGCATCAAGATAACCTGTGTCATTTAGAAGTTCCAAGCAATATTTGCGGTTACATACTAATATCCCTACACTGCTTAGAGCAATCTCCAATCTCAAGAAATACTTCAAACTTCCCAAATCCTTTATCTTGATGTTCTTGCTAAGAAACAACTTAACTTCCTCAACTCTCCTATCATCTCCACCGATAATAATGTTATCGACATAAACAAGCAAAACCACAAAGCGACTAGAACCCACTTGGTGAACATGGAATAGTCAGACACATATTGAGAGAAACCATTTCTAAGTAGGGTTGAGGTAAGTTTGGCAAACACTTGCCTACTTGACTGTTTAGAGCCATACAACAACTTTCAAAGTGAGCAAACCAACTTCTCAGGGACATAAGCTTTAGGATCACTTGGTGGTAATGCCATATAGACCTCTACTTCAAGATCACCGTGTAAAAAATCATTAGAGACATACATTTGGTCTAGCACCCACCCTTTGCAAACAATTACGGCTAGTATAGCCTTTACTGAATTGATTTTGGCCTCTGAGGAGTAAGTATCAAGAAAGTCAATACCATAAAACTGTGTAAATCCCTTGGCCACTAATCTGGTTTTGTGCCTTTCAATGTTGTCATATGGTCTACGTTTGATCTTGTACACCCATTAACTACCAATGGCATTCTTGCCTATAGGTAATGGTACAACATCCCAAATATGATTCTCCTCTAGTGCATGAGTTTCTTCATTCATTGTTCTATTCCAGTGTTCAGATGCAGCAGCTTCAGCATAAGATGAAGGCTCAATCTCAAAAGCAATGCTAAGGGCATAAACACGATCAATAGGGGATAACTAATCATAGTTTAATAATCATCCATAGGGTATTTTCTAGCACAACCGACATAATAGTCTTCCAACCTAGCAGGAAGTTTCCCTATGTTGGCTCGAATGGGTCTACCTTCAAAATCTTCCTGAGGTTCCAATTCAGGAACATCTTCATTATCAACATGATCTACTTGTTGAGATGCATGATAAGACATAACTGAATCATCTGTGATCAGTGTGGGAACAACTTCTTCAACAATTGGACTTGGAACTGGAGGAGGATTATAAGAGGTACTGACTTTATCTGGCCCCATATTAGAGGGAGGTGAGGGATAAAGATAGGAATGGAAGAAGGTGTTAAAAGGAACAAGACTGATAGTGGGAGGATTAGGAGAAGTATCTAGTGAATCAGGAGCATCTGAAGCAGGTTTGAATGCAAATGTTTTCCAAGAAAACAACATTCCTTGAAATGAAAACCTTGTAATTGCTAATATCAAGCATGACTCTATCTTTATTCTCGTCCGATTAATTCGTTATCTATCAGAATTTGGAGTAAATTAATTGATTTTATAACCTTTAATGCCACAAAGAAACCGAGAAAAACACATTGAGTAGCTTGAGCTTGGAATTTGGTTTTGCCATTAACAACTGTGGAAGCATAAACAAGACAGCCAAAAACTTTCAACTGCCTGTGATCGGGTGGTTTGGAAAACAAAAGTTCATACGGAGAATGATTCTGTAGAACTGGTGTAGGAAGTTTATTAATAAGAAATTTGAGTGAAGTACACAATCACTCCAAAATCATAAAGGGACAGTAGATTGGGATCTGAGGGCTCGTGCTACATTCAAAATGTATTGATGCTTGCACTCAACTCTACCATTTTGTTTCGGTGTTTCAAACACATGAAGTTTGATGTTCTATTCCATGTGATCTATAGCAATAAGACATATAGAGTTCCATGCCCTAATTACTACGAATGGTTTTAGCATGTTAGCCAATATGTTTCCTCATACACACATAAAACAGAAACCTTGAAACAATTCCATGATTCACCTTTGTTGTGCATGAGATAAACCCAAATAGTCCTACTATAATCATCAGCTATAGTAAGAAAGCATAGCCATCATGAGATTTAACATACAGGGGGCCCCAAATATCAACATGAATAAATTGAAATGCTTTTTAGGAGCAGAACACTCATTCACATGAAAGGGAAGTTTACGTTGTTTGGACAAACGACAAATGTCATAGTGGAAAACAAGATCACTATTAATGATAGGATTTTGTTGTTTAAGAAACTGAAACCTATCTCTACTAGGATCACCAAGATACACTAGTGCTTAAGATTAATAGGTTGAGGCTTGAAATTGTACGTGGTTGCAACTTGTGAGGGTGGAGTGATCTGGTCAAGAACGGTTGGACTGGAGAATGTTAAGTGATACAAGCCTCTACTTTGTTTTGCTAAACCAATGACCATCTGGGTTGAATGGTCTTGAAGTTCAAAAACATCAGAATGTAAGTATAAAGAAATGAGTAACACACTAGTCAATTTGCTGACTGAAATCAGGTTAAAAGTAAAGCAGGGGGCAAGAAGGGTGGATTGCAGGACAAGGTAGGAGGGCAGCTTAGCACTTCGTCCTTGTCTTACATGAGTTTGGCATTGTTAGGCAGGTAAATATAAGTGTTTTTATAGCAGAGTGATCAAGAAAATGGTTCGCATTGCATATTATATGATATGAGGCATCAGTGTCCAAAATATAGATGCTAGTTAATTCAAATTGTTCAATCTATGTATGGTAAGAAACAACATACTTACTAGCATGATTGGGAACTACATGTAAGTATTGGTGATACTGAGAAGGCCTTAAAAGCAATCCTAGGGGAGCTAGGTGAAATGGGGCTGAAATCAACACTAAATTGCAATAATGTCTTCAACTTGTTAATCTCATTAGTGGATAGCCCCATAATATTCTTAGAAGGACTGATAACACCATATGATATAGGATTGTTGTTGTTAGAAGAATGACTCTCCTGAGATACAGAACCAGCAAAGACACCAGATGCCTTCTCATTTTCCTTCCTCTTCACCTTTCAGCATCCTTGATAGTGTGATCAGTTCACTTGCAGTATCTACAAAACCACTTCTCAGAATTGTCTTCATGACGCCCTTTAAACTAATGCTAATGATACTGATTGGGCAGTCCTTCTATTAGAATGATACCCTTTTTGTTTCTGCTCATGCTGCAGAATGACATTAACTGCAACAAACACACTAGGCAATGGTTTAAGCATGAGTAACTTAGTCTTAATCACATCATCATCCTTATTGAGACCTCTCAGAAAACAAATGAGATAGCTAGTTTCTTATTTCAAGTAAGCTTCCATAGCAGCACAAGGGTTGGGGTTACCAGGTGCGCATAGACATGGGATAATGAGAGAAGATAATGTTCCCATAACCCCTTAATGTCAGTATATTACTTTGTAACACATCTTTCGCCCTGTTTACAAGCTTGTATCTCATCTTCCAAGTAAATGATACGAAGAGCATTGCGCTTTCCAAAACGTCTTTTCAACTCGTCCCAAAGGACACAAGCATTCTCGTGATACATAACACTATGAGCGATTTCCTTCTGCAGAGCATTAAAAAGCCAACAAAGAACCAAGGTATCGCATCCATTCCATAGTATAATTGGGTATCTATAGTAGCAGGAGCTAGAATAGATCCATCGACAAAAGCCCAGCTTATGCTTCCTCTTCAAAGCCATACGCATCGAATGACTTCACATTGAGTAATTCGTTCCATGTAATACCTCAAAGATAGTCGATTGAGAAAGATTCTCATTCGAATTGAGGTAGTAGGGGTTCCAAATTGAACCTCACCTCTGCCACCATGTTCTGAAGTCTCGACATAAGTCCTGAAGCATATTCATGCGCCAACGGTGGTTTTACTACTAGACAGAGTAAACAGTGGTAGCGTGGCGCCAGACATTGCAATCGAGAAACGAGATTCAGATCTGGGTTTTGATACCATGAAGAAAATATCGAGCAATTAGAGATGAATCGAAAATCCGCAAAAACCAACTGTAGGGTTTCTGTCTCTTTTTATACAAATTCTAAATTTATTGTCTACAAAGGTAACTATCGTTTACATCAACACGTGGCAAACGATTACACAGCGTAATAAACTAACTGCACTACAAAATAACAGTAGTAATGAGTCAATCATCGACGATCTCCGACTCCACAGTCAAAAATCATTTTTCCTTCACAATTGCTAACAAATCCATCTAGGACTTTCGCCAATTCCTACCTTCTCCTATGAAAAATATGAAGAAGAGGGAAACCAACATCGATGAGCGCCCACCTAAAGAAGATGTTTCTTTCGTGTAAATTATTTTAAAATAATCTTTTCTCTTTGCATTATATCGAATATCGATTTGTAGATAAATAATCTATTTTTTGAACAAATATTTTTTAAATATGAGTTGAAAATAAGGAAATAGAATCGAGAAAAAACAACTGATTTAAAACATATTTAATCTGAACCATTAAATTTGATCTTGCTAAAAGTTAAGGGTCGTTTGGTTTTTATGATTGTTTGGTTGAGATATTTACAATGCGTGCATTGTCCATAATGCATCGTTTTTTAAATTTTCTTCACAAACAATATATACATTGTTTGCTTGATGTGACACAAACTATCACTCAAAATGAGTGATAGTTAAATCTCACATTTTTTGTGAGATTGTTGAAATTGTTTTGTTGAGATTGTTGTGTGTTTTTTTCTTCCAAATATATCACTACCTTTTTATGTGTGTTGCTTTTTTATGTTAAAAACAAAGGATAAAGTGACATTTCACCCAAAAAATAATATAACTTATTTAAATAACACAATAACTATCACAAAACCAAATGATGTAAACTACAATACATCAATTTTCGTATATACATGCATATTAATATATACATTGATGACAATTCAACTATTTAATTATCACCAAAACCAAACGATAAACCGATTTCATTCATGTAATCTGACCCTATCCGGTCTCTAATGTTAATCTCTCCGAATTCAAAAGGTGGTTTCGGCACTTGCATTTTTTCATCTTCTATGAGTTGTTTTGTTTACTTTAATTGTCTGCTCGCATGAGTCGTCATGATGGTGATTTGGCATTTGTGTCTGAACGGGAACCATCTTTTTGACTGTTGGCCTTTTCTGTTGGCCTTTTCCTTTCTTGCTGATGGCTGAATTACACCTTTGGTCACTCAAATTATATAAATCTTTCACGTTTATCATCCAAATTACTTTCCTTTCTTATTCGTCACTAACTTTACGATTCATTTCACGTTTGGTCATCGGCCGTTTGTCTCCGTTAACTCCGTTAGTTTTTTATGACGTGACAAACGGAACTGCTGATTAGACCATTAACCTAATGACATCTCAAATTAAAAATTAATAAATAAAAACCCAAAATTCACGGTCTTTAATGTGGAAGCTAAGCTGCTTCTCAGAAAACCTTCCGTGACATAAACATGTGACTCAAAAGATTCCTGCTCCAGTGCTCCTACAACAATAAACAAATTTTCTATTGCAGCCTCTACATACACACGTACATACTCTACATACATATGATTTGCCCCCGTCACCATCTAATCCTCATGCCATCAGGATTACCAACACATTACAAGAAAGCAACATATAGCACAAAATGGGAATTCAGGGACCTTTCTGCATATGCGCTGGTTAAAATGAACCATTTACATATGCCAGAGCCTCTGAATGAAGGATCAAACACACACAAGATACACAACCCGAATCCAGATTCTCCAAGTACACCCTTACCGGTCATCAAGTTCTGATCTTTTCAACAGAGATCTGTTCGTTTGAGCTCCACTCTCGTATCCACTGCTGTCACCCGACTCCATTACCTGTCTATCAGTTCTGAAGTCATCCCGATTGGGGCGGCTTTGATCCCTTCCAGTTCTACGATCCTGAATTCGAGAAAACTCTTGGATTAGACTTGTGGTCGCTTGTTCTACTCTATATAAACTCTTTATGGTTTCTGTAATACGATACTGTACAGTGAATATCGAATCATTATACTATAACATGGACATTAAGGTTATTCTAATTAAGTAACTTTGCATCGTTGGTTCTGGGCAGAAGTTTAGAAGCTAAAGCTTACATCTCGGAATGGGAACTCATCAGCCTCAAGCATATGAATCACATGCCCCATCTTTGGCCTTTTCTGAGCATTTGGATCTACACATCTTAGAGCTACTAAAAGAGCACGCTTCAGTGCTCTTGAAGAAGGCTTCTCTGGCAATCTAGGATCCAAGACGCCCTCTGCATTCCTATTTGTCACCATTGTTTTAAGCCATTCAACAAGGTTTACCTGTAACACATTCAACCCAACAGGTTAGCTACCATTTTGGAGCAATCAATCAATCAAACACAGTTGAATGAATTCTTTGAAGCTGATAACCTCTCCTGGTGGGCGACTGTAATCAACCGGGTTTCTTCCAGATATGACTTCCATTAGAAGGATTCCAAAACTGTACACATCACTTCTCTCGTTCAACATCCCAGTACTTGCATATTCTGGAGCCACATACCTGGGCAGAATCACATAACTTGATCACTAACTCATAATGGAGATAACAAAAAGGAAGCTCAGCAAGAGAATCCCCAGGAAGAATTAGACTAACCCGAATGTTCCCATTACTCGAGTCGTCACATAACTTCTTTCTGATCCCAAAAGCTTTGCTAAACCAAAGTCCGAAACTTTCGGATTCCACTGCTTATCAAGCAGAATATTGCTTGATTTTATATCGCGATGAACCACCTTTGGCTCGAGCCCCTCGTGCAAGTATGTTAGCCTAGACACAAAGTTCTTAGAATTTGACCCAGAAAAAAGAACAGCATGTTGAAATTCTGAAGCTCACAGAATCAATCAGTTTAAATACCCTTTGGCAGTCCCAGTGATTATATTCATCCGAATCTCCCATGTGAGAGGACTGCAAGGGCCAACATCACCATGAAGCCACTGCTCCAAGTTGCCATTATCAACGTACTCATAAACAAGCATCCTGATAAACACCAAATACAGAGCAGACCCTTTAATCGCCTTACTACAAAATCCTGATATCAACCATGAAATTGAGAATTCATCAACTTACCTGTGAGCACCTTCAGCACAATAACCTAGCAGCCTCACCAAATTCTTATGCCGCACCCGTCCAATTGCTTCTACTTCAACTTTAAACTCTTTCTCGGCTTGACCCCTAAAGGAAAACCCAAAAAGCCACAAACTTTAAGGCATCTAGAGGTGAACAAAACAAGGGTAGAAAAACTTTTTACCATCCAAAGCCCTCCTTTGCATGCAGATGAAAAGGGCAATCCTAATTTGCACAAAAGTTGTCAAGCTTCACAGCCGCTAACCTGTTGTTGAGCAGATTCTTGACCGCGACAGTAGTTTTATCATCAAAAACTCCGCGGTAAACAATCCCATACCCACCTTCCCCAATCACATTCTCATCGGCGAATTCATTAGTAGACAGCTCCAGCTCCCTGAGAGTATACCAATGGCCCCAACCCAAATGCGAAACCTCCGGCACCGTCATCGCAGCAGTGCTGCCCTGGTCGCCGGACCGGGGACCCGACCGGGTCTCCCCACTCCCGTGACCCGACCCGCCGGCCCTGTCCGGGTAAGAAATCCGGTGGTCCTTCCCTATCTCGAACTGAATTCTGTTGCGGGAGGCAGAGGAAACAGGGCTGTGCTGCTGCTGCTGTTGTAGTTGATCCGGAACAGGGTTCGTATCCGGGTCGGGGTTCGGGTTCAAGGCCGGAGGAGGAGGAGCCGGGTCGACCCGTATCTCGGTTATCTCCTTGGAGACATTTGGGATAATCTGGTTGTTGACGGGAGAGGGCTTGAGAGCGGAAGGAGGATTATCACTACTGCTATTAGCGTTGGTTCTTCTGCTGCGCTTTGTGGTGAACCAGAGCGAGATTAGGAAGAGGAATATAACTATGGCGGCTCCCACGCAGATACCCACCACGACCCATAATCGCAAACCGAAGATTGAAGTCTTCTTGGATAGCTCATTGTTCAGAAACGAACTGCTCGACATTTACTCTGTTTTTTTCTTCCCCCCTTCCTTCCAGCTCTCTGCTCTATCTGCGACAGAAATTTCTGCCAAGAAAATGGAAGGGAGGGAAGGAAGGCAAAAGGGACAGAAAGTGCGCGTGTAATAGAAATGGGACACTGATTGAAAGAAAGCGTTGTTTCTGTGTGTAGCAGTGTGTACAGAATGAAGTGGACCGGCCTGAGAAGGAGAGAGAGCAAGCTGGCATGAATGGGACCTGTAGATTGTGGGTAGTAATTGAAAAATTAAAATGTATTATTATCAGAGGAAAGGAAGAAATGATTAAAGAAATGGTTTGAATCTTGTTAGTCATTAAGAGACTAAGCCTAGTAGTAGTAGTCGGCTACTGTAATTAATGGAAGACCCACTTGGCAATTAATTGGGAATTTAATGGTGTGATTTTCTTTATTCTGTGTTTAGTTCAAGGATTATGAAATTGTATAAAAAGTTGTATACTTATACTAGGAAAATTGATGATTTATGTGTGCTTTGTGCCAAAGAGGAGGAGATGCAGGCGTGTGTTTGGTGGACAATCCAAACAATGGGGAGGTGTTGTTATCACAGCTCAGGGTTAAGGTTGCTTTGTTACCTTTAGGCAATGTAAATTTTAAGGATAATTTGAGAAGTATCCCCTGTAATAGGTGGAGTGTTTTTTGCAGCTTGACTATATGTAGTCTGGTGATGTGAGATGTTTTGTCTGAGTTTCTTGTGAGGCTTGATCATATTGATCAAGCGTGCTTAATGAAGATTTAATTACCAATTTTTTTAATTTAATCACAATTTAACTATTTTATAACATTAGATCGTCTATTGGTTTGGGGTTCTATATCTGAAATTTCCATTCCAAGGCTCCAGGCGGTGGAATAAAGGGGTCGTTTGGTATATGCATATCTAAACGATGCATTTAATGAATGCACGTATTGTATAGAATGTATAGTTTTTTTTTGTGTCAAAGTGAAAAACAATGCATGCATTTCATTGATGATGTGACACTCGAAATCATTCAATATGAATGATTTACAATCTCAACAATTTTGTGAGATTGTGTTTTGAGTTTGTTCTTCCATTTTTCTTTCCCTTTATATTCCTATCAACTTTTATGCATTGTTACTCTTCTATGTAAAAGAAAGGATAAACATGACCTTTCATTTTAAAAGTAACTTTATCATTTTATTCCTAAAATTACAATCACAACTACCAAAAAATATAATCTTATAATACATGCATTTAGACAATATATCAATTTACAATGCAAATATTAATATAATACATCCATTCTAACAATCACATAGTTTCTAAAACATTGCATTTGTTTAGTTAGTGGGCCGGTCTTTGGGGATCTGGAGCTGGTGGTGGCTTCTTTCTTCTTTTGGATTTAGAAGAAGAAGCGTTTTTAGCTTTAGGGTAGGGTTTGTGCTGTTTGTTTTGACGTTGAATTTGCTTTTTGGGGTTGCGTCTTTGGGGCATTGTTTTGTTCGTATACTATTGTGGGAAAGTGGATACTAACACTCCGTTTGGCAACGAGGGGGGTGCAAATTCGTGGAGGGTGCAAATTGATGGGTATATTGTAAGGGGGAGCAAATTAAAAGAAGGTGTAAATAAGGGTGCAAATTGTTGTTTGGGAGAAAAAGTAGGAGGGTGTAAATGAATATATTAATATATTAATTATAATATTAAACTAATAAAAGTAATAAGAAATTGAAGTAATATATAATTTTTTATTTGTTTCCGACTCTCTCCTGATGAGTTCTCTCCCCAATCTTTCTAATCAATTCTCTTTCCCCATTATTGCCGTCCAATTCTCCATCTCTCTTCCACAAAAAACGATCAAGCTTCTTCCTTCTCCCATCTCTCGCTTCTTCATCTCTAAAGACAGCCAATTTTTATGGCTCCTAGTTGCGGCCAAGACAGATCTAGGTGAGTGGATCATTGATCTGAACTTGCATGTGAGACGAGTCCTCCGATCCGGGACGACGGAGGGGAAAACAGGTCGGCGGACACTTTGTTTTGCTATCGTTGTTGTTATTGTTTTCATCTTCCCTGCATATACTCTATTTTGCAGGCCCCCGACGAGCTAGGGATTAAGGACGGCTGCCTGAGTGGCGATTGTCGGAAAGGAAATCCGATCTAAAAGAAGAGCAGCTCCACCGTCACAGGAGGAACGAGTCCCGCCGGGGTACAATCGGAGAAGACGGTCGGGAGAAGAAATAGCAAAAAAGAATTCAGAAAAAAAAGTGAAAGCCTCATCAATCTTTCTCTCTCTACTTCCGCCCCAATTTGGGGGGCTTGTTCAAACAGTAATTTTGCTCCTCTAAATGGCCGCCCCCCTACTGTTCAAAACTTTACCAAACAAGTGCAAGTTTATTGGGAAATGGATTTGCCCCTTGTTTTTACGCCCCCCTCTACTTCCCCCTCTTCCCAAACATAGTGTAAAATGGTCTATGGTGGGAGGACGCGGCAAGGTAATTCATGATGATCAAGATGAGAATCATATAAATAGATTATTAAGTATTTATGGAATTTTAGCTACTCTTTGACTTTTCTTTCTCAAATTCATTCGCCCCATGATGGATGAGTTTTATATGTCAATTATAGCGAGAAATTTTAATGGATTAATTTAATACAATTATTTTGTTTTGAGATAATTAAGGTAGATTGACTCGTTTGACAGTAAAAGATTTGAATGAAACAATTTGGCATGGAAAATTCTGAATTGACTCGTTTTGAGGCAATTATAATTGTCTAGAGTAGGAGCAGGTAATTTGAATTTTGAACTGATTCGTTTTAAATTATTCATTTTGTAATCATTTTGCAATTAATCCATCCAAACGACCCAATAGTTAATTTATATATAATTTACAAAATCTCCAGCACACTTAGGTTCAAAATTGAAAATTCTCGGTGGCCAAACCCCAAACTCAAAATACCTCCGCCCCTGCACTTGACCATTATATAGTTCCAATCCCTTAAGTTTATATCTTCTATGGACAACATACATAAACAATAAGCGCTAATCATGTTGAAGATTAACACAGCACAGATATGGTTTGATAATTTTGAGGTTTTGAGGGATTCTTCTGCAACGGCAAAGCTGATAGGGACATGAACTTAAAACCATAAGACAAGATGTCCGCAATGAGTTGCATGTGACATTTGCCCTCATATGTTAAACAATGGAGAGACAAAGACAATATGCCCAGAAAAGGTGGCGGATCATCAATCTGGGCCGTCTTGTTTGTTGTGCTATGGGCCCGATCCTCGACAGATAAACTAATACTATATACAACAAAGGGAACAGAGCTAGAGCCAAGAAGCCCTTCCAAATTCCAACTGTAACAGCCTGCCTAACAGGGTCCATTTTCTATGTTTACGACTTTGACCCACTATCAATTACAACTAGGCAAGAGGAAATGGTTGGACTTTCTATACATCCCACCAAATGTGGAAGGCATTCATTGGGAAACCCACCGCACCGACGGCTGAATCTAGGGTTGGCATATGTAGAGGTCGTGATTTTGTAAATTTTTGTATACATTTGTAGGTTGATTACCCCTGCGCTTTGTTGACTGTGGGGCAGATCCGGTCACAACCCCTTCGGGGTAGGGGTGGGCATACGGTTCGGTAAAACCGAATCGAACCGAATTCAAACCAAACCGAAACCGAATAACATTAATTCGGTTCGGAATTCGGAAGAGAAAATGGTATATTTCGGAAACCAAGGTCCTTTCGAACGAACTGAATTTGCGAGTTCCGAACCAATTTTCCGAATTACTATAATTGCAAGTTCCAAATGGTGGATTTTTATATTTGTACTTATTATGAGATTTAAATATTTGAATTATAATAGTGTTTTAGGACTTATGTGTTGAAATGTTTGATTTTATCATTGATGATGCATTTAATTGCATATTTATTGTTTACATTAGGGGTGAAAAATAATTTAAAAGAGAAAAAATACAAGCTAACCTCACAAGTTCGGTTTTTCATACAAAACCGAACCGAATTATAATTCGGTTTGAACCGACCGAACCGAATTATAATTTGGTTCGAATTCGGTGAGGTTTGATGGAACTCGGAAACACGGTATATATTATTCCGGTTTGGTTTAAACTGAACCGACCGAATGGCCACCCCTACTTAGGGGTTGTGAGTTTCACTTCCCATATTAGAGCCGTCCATCTCCCTTCCAAATCCGACGGCTATCAACACACAAAAAAGTGTTTTAGGAGGTCTTGAGTAACCTTTAAAATAAAAAGGAAAGAAAAAGTGATAATAAATATAATTTAAATGCTGAATTGACGGAATTTAAAAAAAAATAGTAAATGCATGGGGAATATTGGTATGCGTGATTTCTGGGATTGGATTAGCACTAACCATAACCGCCAACGATGGTTCCCCTACCATTTTCGGATTCTTCATCTTTAAGCAGAGGCAACGTAGGTAGCCTAACGAACTGGAAGCAACGTCGGAGCAACTTTTCGTTGACGCCGACATAATGAATGGCGACAAAGATTTGGGGGGATCCGACGGGACTGGTTTATTTTGCTTCATCGCGAACGACGAGGATTGCGTGCCTCTCCCTGTCGAGTACGCTGAAGAAGATGACGACGACATGAGGAATGCCTCCGGAGGCAATAATCGTGAACAACGAGGATTGCGTGCCTCTCCCAGTCGAGCACGCTGAAGAAGATGACGACGACATGAGGAATGTCGTCGGAGGCAATAATCTCGGTAGGGTTAATTAGTATGATTTCGTTGTACTGGTATTAGGTTTTTTAATGTTACAACTGATGGAAAGAGAGAACGATACTAGTAGTATGCTTGTGCTATTATGTTAGTAGTGGTAGTGGTAGCTTGGTACTGGTACACTTGTAGTGGTAGTTTTGTACTCGTACAATTGTATTGGTACGCATGTAGTGGTAGTTTTGTATCACTACACTTGTAGTGGTAGTTTTGTATTGGTAGACTTGTAGTGGTATTTGGGACAGGATACAGTTTAAATTGTCAATTGTGACAAATGTTTCATTATTCTGATGAGATTTTCTTACCCATAGAGTTTTGTAGTGAACCAGTGTTGCTTACTTGTACCACTATTATTGATTCGTACTGGTAATAATATCCAGTAGTTGTACGAACTTCTGGTCTCTGAATCCCTACTAGTAATAGTTACTGGCACATATACAACTATTGGGGAAATTTGCCAAGAGTGGTTTCCGA